CGTGGTCCAGGATGCAAATGGGGAGAACAAAAAAGCAGAGAGAAAATGACATCATCTCTTGCTTCATAGATCTTACAGTCTAGACCAGAATATGGGTGTCAATCCACTAGTGGTGCGACTAGGTATAAAATTAGCCCTGGGCTCAGTGCGGTGATGGAAAGGTTTCTCATACCTTGTGGTAGGGAATGGGCCCCTGATCCAGCCCGGGGAGGAGTCAGCCACCCTGCTGTGTGTGGGAGCTGGAGTATTAGCAGGAGCTGAATGTGACAGCACAGAGGCCAGCCCGGATGGTGGAGTCGCATCCCAGGCACGCTGTGGCGCAAGCTGGGAAGCCGCAGGGCTCGCGGTTCCAGGAACTGCAAGAAGGCCAACGTGACTAGGTGGGAAAGCAAGGAGGCTGCGATCAAAGAGGGATGTGGTCTGTGAGGAGGCTGGAGAGAAGATGGTTGGGCCAAGCCAGACAAGGCCAAGTTTCATGATGATTTAGCTTAATCCGGAGACCAATAGAAAGACAGCAAAGCATTTAAACAGAAAAGAGTTTCGTTCTGAAACCTCATTCTCTGGATACAAGGAGTCCATGCAGGCCTCCTCCTAAATGTTTTCTAGGACAAGAGAGATTGACTGCCTCTCTGCTGGGGCAAAATACAAAAAGATCTGCCTACAGGCTATTGCTGGGGGTACGATGGGTCCCAAGGTAGACAAGGTAGACCTGGGTGCTTCTCTTTCTGAACTCCTACTCTAAAAGTTTATTCTTGCATTCTTTTTGGACAATAAAATGTGATTACCTTCAAGGAGGTTCTTGCCAACAAATACAATAAATCTAGAACCCAATCTTTGTGGCTAGAAATGAAGAAAAAAAATACCTTGAGTCATTCCTAGATGCTGCCCAAAGATCCTCTGAGCCTCATTTTCTGTAGTTCACAACAAAAGTGTAAGTTTAGTGTCCACCAAGGCATTCTGCTACACCTGTTACATTGTCAAAGAAGCTTACACTTGTGGAGAAGGCCTCCAATTGTCGTCCAAAATCCCATCTCCCACTCCACCTGGACCGGACTAAACTTCCAGCCTCCCTTGTCACTACGTGAGTCCTTAAAACTAAGTTGTCTCCGATCAGTATGAGTCACAGTGACTTGCCCCACTTCCGGGCTGGGTCCATAAAACCCTCCCACTGTTGGCTGATGGGGCAGTTGATGCTCAGGATGGCTTTGGAATCCACATGTTGAAGATGGCAGCACAGCTGTTAGCGTGAGGTCCTGAATGATTGTAGAGGATAATGGCTCTCCCTACCAGAACACCCACCATGACTATTATAGGAGAAAGAAATAAGCATGTTTTCTTTCTTTTTTTTTTTTTTATTTGACAGAGACAGAGATAGCGAGAGCAGGAACACCAGCAGTGGGAGTGGGAGAGGGAGAGCAGGCTTCCCCTCGAGGAAGGAGCCCGACGTGGGGCTCGATCCCAGGACCCTGGGATCATGACCTGAGCCGAAGGCAGACGCTTAACGACTGAGCCACCCAGGCGCCCGAAATAAGCATCTTTTCATTAAGTTGGTAAACTTCTGAAATGTAACAAGTAACAGACCTTTTAATAACCTGAGGAGGCTCAGCCACTAAACTATGGGCTTCTTCAAGGCAAGGACTACACTACTACTTCCTTGAGTCTGCAGCCGCTAGGATAGTGCTGGCATATAGGGAGCTTTCAGTAGATGTACCTCGAGGAGTGGTATTGCTTAGGAAAATTAGGTGATAGGCTTGCGAATTTGTTCACATAACAACTCAGATATGCAGAGAGATGCACTTCTGGACCTGGTCTTTCTCATCATGCATTCCTAGCTTGGTGGTTGGGGTAGGTGGAAGGGATAACCAAATGTCAATCCAGTTAAACCTTTGTCTACTGCCATATTTAAATAGCCTCAGTGGGTGATGTTTAGTCTTTTGGGATAATTGTTCATTTTTATACTCATTTGACTTTTTCCAAGATGGTGTCTAGGGTGTAAGTAAGAGGAAAAACACTTGAGTAAAAGGGTCTCAGAGCCACCTGAAATCCTCCCACCTCGTAGGTGGCCTTGGCAATGGAAAATCTAATCTGAGTTGTGTTGCTGCTGAATTTTTTCTCAGCTTAGTCAGGAACCTGTGGCCACTTTTCGTTTATTCAGATCCCCTCAGTTTTTGCAGGGTGGCCCTCTCTGGATCTCTGTTGTGCCCCTCTAGAGTCCTGACTCAGACTGTCCCCAGCCTCACCTTGGCTATGGAGGCCCCAAGGATCACCCCCTGGCTGTCTCTTTGGTGTTTATGCCATATAAGAATCAGGGTAGAAGCAAGAGTGCAATCTAGATCCTTATCTGAATGCTGTCCTCTTAACTCAGCTGCACTGTCCCCTTTTAGCATGGGGTCCACTGCATAGAGGTGTCTTATAGATTCATGACAGGAAGTGAAATAAAAGCCCAGAAAAGGAAATTCCGGACCCACGTGCCCAACAGTTTTTGTCTCCTACTTTGTCTTCCTTCTTCCTATAGTCTCCTAGAACCAGAAAAAGGATAAATTTTTCCTCCTTCCTGCGGATCCTCCTTCTACCCAGCAAACAAGCCACAGGGGCTGAAAGCTTGTCTGATCCCTAATCGTGCTCTAGGTGTGGTTCTTGCTACATTAAATGGGAGATAAAAGATTTGAAAAAGCCTTTCTCTGTCACATACATGTGACTCTCAAGTTGTGTTGTGAAATCTCTTGCTTTTATTTATTTATTTATTTATTTATTTTTATTTATTTTATTTTTTTTTAAAGATTTTATTTATTTATCTGAGAGAGAGAATGGGAGACAGAGAGCATGAGAGGGGGGAGGATCAGAGGGAGAAGCAGACTCCCCGCCGAGCAGGGAGCCCAATGCGGGACTCGATCCCGGGACTCCAGGATCATGACCTGAGCCGAAGGCAGTCGCTTAACCAACTGAGCCACCCAGGCACCCCACTCTTGCTTTTTTTAAAAAGATTTATTTATTTATTATTTATTCTGACATTATGACAACAAACGAGCTGTGTTTTTTTTTTTTTTTAAATCGAAGTATATAACATTGTGCAATCTTCACAGTAACCCAATGAAGTAGTTACAATATTATTTTCCTTTTGTAGATGAAGAAACTGAGGCTTGGAGAAGTTAAGTGTCTTAGTCAAGGTTCACAGGGAGGAAACGAGTCATAAATGGAGTCAGGCCTTGAGCTGAAACCTCTCGGGTCTATTTTCATTTCATATACGCACTGTCAGTCCTCACGTCTAAATGTTATTCTTTCTGATTTCCAACATCTGCTGTGGGTTTTGTTTTGTTTTTTTTTCTTTTTAAGACCATTGTGGCATGTTAATTGATCAGAGCCCAAACAAGTGGATGGTGATGCTCTGCAGACTTCCATGACGTAGGACTTCGCTTATCAGTAATTTAAATCATGCTATAAAATAATCCCACTCCTACTCTATTGCTTTAAGCCATCTGCTTCGTGATGATCAGAGTTTCAACCTAATGAAAAAAATATTGAGTTAGAGGTCTTTTTGTTTGTTTTGTTTTGTTTTTGATGATAACCTAATACCAGGGGTATTGCTGGGAGGCATTTGTCACAAACTTCAAACTGGGTCACCTGCCTCATTTGTGTGCAGAGCAGACACCTGCCAAGGCTTGTCTTTCCAAAATCTTTGTCTGTGAGAGAACATGGGAATAGGAACATGAAGGGATGAGGAACATGAGCTCCATGGGTCTGCCAAGTCAGTAACAATATAGGAGCAGGAAAATATAGCTGAAAATTCCTTTAAACATTAGCCAATCTGGGTTTGGTTTCTTTTTCTACATAATGTTTTTAACAGTTCTTACAAATGTAGGTTGTCCAAAACCACAGACAAATTTAAAAAAGAAGAAGAGGAGGAGAAAGAGGAAGGAAGAAGAAGAAGTGTATTTCTGTCTTTAAACACTCTGAAAACCTTTTGTAGAATGAAAGACTCTTCAACCACTGAGCCGGGGTAGACCTCATCCGACCCCTACCCTTTCACCTTTCCTCTTATATTGCTTTATCCAGATAAGACATTCATTAGTCCCTCCTGGTATGTGTAATCCAAGCAATAATTCACGGCTTTATTAATTTAAAACATAGCTACTAGCTTATATCTTCATTCTGTGAAACTTAATTGAATTCTAGAATTGATCAAATAAAGCCACCTAAATTCAACCGGTCATCCATAAAAGTACGTTCATAAACTTGAACATTATTAGGCCAGAACTATTTCTTCCATGCTCCTGCATCAGGTCTGAGTGTCTCCCTCTTGCTGAAATTTCTTAGCATTATTCCATGGGCACTTTCCAATTAGCATGGCTTCTTGGGAACCTTTAGCAAAAGTTTAAATATTTCAGTGAAGTTTATTCATTATTTTACCTATTAGCAGAGATTAGCTTCAACAATCACAATTCCCATTTGTCATAGATGCCTGGTGGCAATTGCTCAGAGCAAGCTGAGAATAGGACAATAAGTGTAAAGGTATTTTCAAAGCATGAATGGGGTTAGTCACAATACAAGTGTGAAACCAAACATGTCAGTTGGTCTCAAATATCTCTCTGGGTTCCATTTTGTGATCCTGGTTTATGTGTTTACTCTGAGGACAATTGAGTAGCTGTGAAGATAGAGAACAACTTTCTAAAGGGATGGGACCCAAAACTAATTGGTTTTGAAGAGGGAAGGTGGTCAGGACTATGGGTCATTAGTGATCAGTCACTGTATAGGTTTGGGGCTCCTGGGGGTGAGCAGAGGGAATGCCTGGGGAGCAGGAAGGGGTATGGCAGAGGGTAGGAGAGCTATTTCACTGTTCTTTCTAGGGTTAGCCTACTTCCAGTCTCTAGTCTTTGTTCCCATTACTAGTTTTTTTCTGGTCAGAACCAAAATGCAAAATGTCCACAATCCCTGGACTTGACATATCTATCTGACTTATGAGACTATTATTGTATTGACAAAAAACCTCTGCTTTTCTTCAGGAAAGTATTTCCAAATAAGGCCCAGGTCCTGCCTCTTACTGAGTGAAGATGAAGAAAACTTCCTCTCCAGCAACTCAGCACCTTTTGACTTGAAGAGGCTTGAGGAATGACAAATCAAAGCACGACAGACAGCCCCCACTGGCTTTGGGGCCAGAGCGGCGCTTCCCGGGCCATGCCTTTTTCATCACCATCACAAATTTCAGTGGTGGCTGGCAGGCAACAGTAAGTTGAGAATCTAAGTAAATCTAGAGAGTATTCGGTCATAAATTGAAATTTATAAGGCACATTGGTATATTCCTGCTTTCAAAGTAGAATATAGGATCACAGATTAAGGGCATGGTTTTCCTAACTCTTGGCCATAAGAGAACCTCAATGTTTAAGCAAGCCCCACATTAGTTATCAGGTGTAGCAAAATGAGCTATTATCTCTTAGAATGACATCTTCGAGAAGAACAATATACATGGTCATTTGGGAGGAAAACAATTATATGGTTTATGTGTGTTTATAGTGCTTAGGCCCAATATGGTGGATTACATTTTTATAGATGCTATTATAATACTCAAATCATTACATTTGATAGTAGGAATGTAGAATCATTCATAATTCAGGGGTTTTAAGCATCTATTATTTACAGCGTATTGGTTAGCTTGGGAAGCTATAACAAAATAGCATCAACTGGGTGCTTAAACAACAGAAATTTATTTTCTCATAGTTAAGGAGGCTGAAATTCTGAAATCAAGAGAGCAACACGGTCCTATTCTGGCGAGACCTGTCTTCCTCTTTTGCAGATAATCACCTTCTCACTGTATCCTCAAATGGTGAGGAGGGAGAGAGCAAATTCTTTGGTGTGTCCTCTTGTAAGGGGATCATCCCACAGACCAGAGACCTCCCCTTATGACCTCTAATCTTGATTACGTCCTAAGGGGGCCATCTCTAAATACCATCACACTGGGGATTAGAGCTTTAACATATGAATTTTAAGGGAACACAAATATTCAGTTCATAGCATAGATCAACACGAGACTCAAAAATGTGGTGACATGGAAAAATGAGAAAAAAATGTTAGATACTTACAAACTTAAGAACCAAAAATTTATACCATGTGTGCCTCCCTATTTTGTGACTCTAAAATCTGCACTTCCAGAAATTTACCTAGAGACATATTCAGACTTCACACACCTAAAAATGGAAGAACAGAGTTATATATAAGAAGCACCATCTGCTTCATCAAGTAACTTAATATTTTGAAACTGAATCATCTCCAAAGTATGATTAAAATTCAGTGCAGAAAATGGAATGACTAAACAGCTCAATATTTAAATAAAATTTGGACAATTACTTATTCTATCTCATCATCCTCATCTGTAAAATGAGGAGCATACATACCCTACCTATGGTAGAGAGTTGATATTAGTCTTAAGGGAGTTGTTATAGTTGAAAAGGCTTGCCTGAATAAGTGAATGTTATTATGGTCTGATTTTGCAAATATTTATTTAGCTGTATGTGTCTGACATCCTGCCATGTTCAAGAAATGCAAAATTAAGTAAGGCATGAGTCTCTACATTAAGGAGCTCACCATACGGTGGCAAAGACAAATCCATGAATTACTCTGAACAACTAATTAGGGTACAACGTAACAAATGTTATAATAAAGCTCTGTATAGGATACTAAGGAAAAACCACACACTGAGAATTTTAATATGGGGCTGGGGAACTCATCATTTGGCATGAAAATCTGACTAATCATTTGCTCAGGACTTTCACCTGGCTCTTAAATTTCTTGCCAAGATTCTTCTTGTGTAGCCTGGATTAGCTGCATTCATTTTGAAGCTCTACTATATGATGCAATTAATATTTAAGATTGTTACATCATCTTGATAAATTGACTCCTTTATCATTAGCTTTCTTTATCCCTGGCAATGTTCTTTGCTACTTTGATATAGTCAGTCTTATAGCTTTCTGTGGAATTGTGTTATATGGTATATACTTTTCAATCCTTTCACTTCTAACCACTTCTTATTTTTATATTTAAAGTGGGTTTTCTTGTGGGCAGTATATAGTTGAATCTTGCTTTATAATTCAATGTAACATTCTCTATCTTTTAAGCGGCGTGTTTAGATGATTTATAATTAATGTAGTTAGTGATACGGTTGAGTTAAAATCTACAATCATGCTATTTGTTTTCTTTTTGTTTCATCTATTCTTTGTTCATTTTATACTCGTTTTATTCCTTTTTTGGATTGAATGTTTTTAATAATTTTATCTATCTGTTGGCTTATTAGGTATAATTCTTTGCTATGGTTACTTTAGGGTTTTTATTATACATTTTCATTATACATTTTAACTTTTTACAGTATCCCTTCAAGAGACATTATACTTATTCACCATAATAAGAATATAACAAAATTATACTTCTGTTTCTCCTCTCCTAGCCTTTGTGCTATGATTGTCATGTTTTATTTTATTGACATGTCATGTCATGTGCTATATATGTTATAAACCCCACAGTGCATCATTATTATTTAAAGCAAAAATAAATACAATACATTGTTAACAATACATTGTTACTTTTGCTTTAGAAAGTGGATTTTTTTTTTTAATTTAAATAACAAAAAAATAGTTTTTATATTTACCCATGTAACGATAATTTCTGGTGCTCTTCATCCCTTTATGTAGATCTATGCTTCTATCTGATGTCATAAGGACTTCATTTCAAATTCCTTATAGTATAGATCTGCCGGTGATAAGTTCTTTCAGTTTTATGTTTCTAAAAAAGTCTTTATTTTGCCTTCATTTTTGAAAGATATTTTCCCTGGATAAAAAAATTATAGGTTAATAGTATTTTTTTTTTTCTTCAGTACTCTAAAGATTTTGCTCCACTGTCTTCTAGCTTACAATGTTTCCAAAGAGAAATCTGATAGTATTCTTATCTTTGTTCCTCTTTTTCTCTGGCTGCTTTTGTGATTTTCTATCAGTTGATTGAAACAATTTGATTGTGCTGTGCTAGGCGTAGATTTCTTCATGTTTCTTGTGCTTGAGATCCGTTGAGAGTTCTGGATATATGTGCTTATAGTTTTCATCAATTATGGAGAAGTATTGACCATTACTTCTTCAAATAATTTTTAGCTTCATCACCACTCATTTGAGGTGAAGCTAAAAAATACACATGTATTTGGTTTCTTGAATTTGTCCCATAGTTTAATGATTCTCTGTTTATTTTGTTCAGTCATCTTTCCTCTCTCTCCCTCTGCTGTATCTTCAAGTCCATTAATCTTCTTCAATGTCTTCTGCAATGTTAATTCTGCTAGTAATCCCATCCCATGTACTTGTTGTCTAAGATGTGGTAATTTTCATCTCTAGATCTTCAACTTGGGTCTTCTTTTTATATCTTCTATATCTCTACTTAACATATTTAATCTTTCTTCCAGTTTCTTGACTATATGGAATACCATCATAACTGTTCGAATGTCTTTGTTGATTAATTCTATCACCTGTGTCATTTCTGGGATTTTGGTTGATTGATTTTTCTCCTCATTATGGGTCATATTTTCCTGTTTCTTTGTCTGCCTGATAACTTCTGATTGAATGTCAAAAGTTGTGAATTTGACCACATTGGCTGCTGGGTATTTTTGATTCCTGTAAATATTGTTGAGCTTTATCCCGGATGCAGTTAAATTACTTGGAAACAATGTGATCCTTCAAGTGTTGCTTTGAAGTTGTGCTGGGCTGGACTGAAGATGCCTTTAGCCTGAGGTCAATTTTTCCCCACTACTGAGGCAACATCCTTCATAGTTCTCTAATTCTGTCTGAATTGTCAGTTTTTCCACTAGGGTTTTATGGAACAGGCACTTTTCTCAGGCCTGTGTGAAGTCTGAGGACTATTCCTCTAATCCTTTCAGGTGATTCTTTCCCTGGTCCTGGGTAGTTTCCTCATGTGCACGCACTGGTTGACACTCAACTGCATATCTACGGAGGACCCTCTCTCTTCAACTCTCTGGGGTTTCTACTCTGTGCAGCTCTCTTCTTGCTGGTACTCCACATTGTAAACTCTAGCCATCTCTCTTTCCCTGGATTCTGAGCTCTGTCTCGTCAACTTGGGAAAACAGTTGGGCTCTGCCTGGGTTCTTTATCCCTGTGCTGATGGAAAAATTTCCCATATCGTAGAAAAATTTCTGGGCAATCATCTAGTTCATCTCATTTCTTTCCCATATCTCAGTGATCCTTCGTTGCCTGACATCCAATGTCTTGAGCACTATTACTTCACAGATTTTTTTTCAGTTGTCTCAGGTAGGAGGGTAAAATCTAGTTGCTATTACTCTGTATTAATCAGAAATGTAAGTCTTTATAGAATACATTGTAATCACTTCAATACAAAAGTCACCATGCCAAGCCTTAGCATGGAATTATAAGACCGAAAACTTGACTTTATTATACTGACCAAAGAATGTAAAATACCAAAAGGAAAAAGAAGTTAGCCTTCTTTCTCATCCTCTAAGCTTGTCCTACTGAGCAGCTGAGGGCCATCAACAAGTCTAAATGAAAAACTGATATTATAATTTCCTAAGAGCTGTGAATGAAAGTGCTATGCAGTGTTGTTAAGGATTATCATTCTAGTCTTGGGAGAATAGCCAGGGACAATTTGTGTCCCTTTGTACCCCGAGAAGGACATATGGGAAAGAGTCCCACAGAGATACTGTGTCCAGCTACTACATGGACAGGGATGAAGCCCCTTTGGCCAGTTGGACTAGACTAAGCAGCTTCTAAAACTCCACCCTATTTTAATTTTTTTTATCTTTAATATAGGGACAAAGTCTACTAACTTTCTAACCACAAAGGCTTTTCAGTTTCTGGTTCTTGTTTAATTAACACCTTGCAAATTAGAGCTTTAGTTTGGAAAGTATTTTAAGCTTCTTGGGTACAATAGGGTATAGTTCCAGAACATTCTTAATCATATGTGAGTGGACCAGGTAGAACATTTGAAATCAACCATATGCTTTCATGAATATTCCTCAATCACAGCCACTATCCCAAGAACCTGATGCCTTCCTTACTTTATATATGTTTGACACTTGAGATAAGCTCTAAAGTTACTTTAAGCACCAACATTCTATTTTCCTCAGATATTTGCTAGTCTAATCAACTTATGAGGAATTGAAATATAAAGAAGTGACATTTAAAAGAATCTGAGTGTAGAAAGAACATTGGATTTAAGAATCAGAAAGCTTTTTTGAGACAAAAATCTGTATATCTGACAGGTAATCTTGGGGCTTAACTTCTCGAGGTTTCACTATCTCTATTTTTTGGGTGAATACATCATCAGTCCAGACTCACCTGTGATGTGAGAGTAAGTTAAATAAACATGAAAGAACTTTTGAAGCATAAATTGCAATTTTCCAAGGCCACCAAAGACGTTTCTAAAAGAACTCAAAGAAATATATATCGAGGATTCTAAACACCAGAAACATCCAAACAACATAAATATTCCAACTCAATTGTTTTTATGATTGCCCATGTAAAAAAAAAAAAATCACATAAAGGTAACAATTGAAGGTGATTGCCGTATTGTGTGATATGAAGTTCTGTGAGGTCACTGTGGCCAAATACGTACCACAGAGCAGAAAATTACAGCAGCATCTTGTCAGTGATGTTCTGCCACAGTAACGTTCATGATGAGACAGTTCGTCATCATTTCTCTATTAGGCCGGTTCTAAGAATTAGCTGCTGTGGTGCAACTCTTTATCGTGTGATGAAACATTTTCTTGTGATCATTATTCACTTTCTAAACTTTCTAGGTGAATGATCTTCAGGGAACCCTCCGACTGAGGTTTTTCTACCCTTCGTCAGCCACTCTCTGCACTCACTTTTCCATCAAAGCAGAAATCTCTTAATTTTCAACTAGAAAGAGATTATGAAGCACATTTTGCATGCATTCTCCCGCCACCTCCATCCTCCTGACCAAGGAAAATTCGTTGGAAAGAAAAGATATGAGAATTCTCTCATGCAGTCATAATGATTTGTCTAAAGAAGAAAAAAATTGAAAATCGTAGATGTTTCGATTGTTTGCTCTTCAGCTTGTTCACGAGGGAGGGATTCTACACTAGGGTTAGGGGGCTGGCCACGCATATGACCCCCACTGCTGGAGAATGATGGCAGCCTGTTGTCCAAGGAAAGAAGATACTGTGCCACCACAGCTGGACAGGGGTTGTCATCGGGAACAGAGTGAACAAGCCGGGGCTATGCGGGGGCAGGCTTTATAGTAACAAGAGGTTGGAGGGACTCCTGGTTTCTCCAGGAGGACGTGATTGTTTGATTTGAATATTTCTGTAGCTGGCAGGGAACTGAAGCCTGCTACTCAGGGCTAAACAGGCACTGTGCCACGTCCACATGATAAGGTGGGTTGTTTGGCTAGGGGACCTTATCGGAGGGACCGGAGTGGGTAAGGAGATGCAGTTAGGCCATTCGAGGACTTCCCAGTTTCCCAGGGCCGGGCAGCACAAAATCTTAATTGTAGGTCTGACACCACTATAGAGATGACTGAGACACATTTACCCAGGTGGACAAAGAAGCTCCTCGCCTGTATCTGGCGGGTCATTGCTCTAACCCATTACCTCTCACCCCCACCCTTAAGTCCAACAAGAAGTCCTTTCAAAACTAGAGATAAAATTAGGAATGTTGGAAGCATTGTTGGGGTTGTTCCAGCCTTACTCCCTTCTTTGGAAAAAGGTAGAATGACCAGGACTCTGTGTGATGGCCTGGAGCCTGCGGTTGCCCCGTCTGCACGCAAGCATTCTTGTGACTGTTGAGACATTTGACTGACTCCGCAGGGACTCCCCATGGGCTGGCCCAGCTGCAGCTTCTGGAACAAGGAAACGGAGTCAATTGGCCTTGTCAGCCCCTGTAAGCCGTAACTTAGAAAAATAGAAGCCCAGTAGTGAGCACACTTAACAAAAATACAAAGTCAGCAGTTAAATAGGGCATTTGTGATTGTTCACGGAAAAGAATTATGGGGAAATGTGTTGAGGATAGTTTTATTTATTTATTTTTTTTAAGATTTTTATTTATTTATTTGACAGAGAGAGATAGTGAGAGCAGGAACACAAGCAGGGGGAGTGGGAGGGGGAGAAGCAGGCTTCCCGCCGAGCAGGGAGCCCGATGCGGGGCTCGATCCCAGGACCCTGGGATCATGACCTGAGCCGAAGGCAGACGCTTAACGACTGAGCCACCCAGGCGCCCGAGGATAGTTTTAGAAATACACATGAAAGGAGGTATTCGATACACTGTATTATAATAAAATTAGTAATGTAATATCTGCGGTATTTACACACTCTGAATGAACTTAAAACGCTGTAATTAAATGAAAATCTTTTTCCTGTGCACAAGAACGATGATATTGCCTTATTTTTTTAAAAAAATTTTTAAATGTTAAATGATGACATTTCAAATGTACAGCCAAGCCCTGAAAATACTAGCAGATACTCATGGACTGACCTCCCATATTAACAGATGTGAACATTTTGCTTTATTTGCTTCAGAATCAATTATCTCTCTTTTTAAGAAAGAAAACTTAAAGTGCAGACCAGAGCACCCTCGTTCCCTCCTTACCTGTCTCCCTAGGGGCAACCGTGATCCTGACCACTTACATATGTTTAAATTTTTATTATATATATATATCCATAAATGATATATACTATATTTTGTATGCATTAAATATTTATATAGACATTAGAAACCATACGGTACATTTCTTTTTGTAACTTACTGTTCTTATCAACATGCTTTGACATTTATTCATATTGGTATATATAGATCTAGTTTCTTCATTTTACCTTTCATTCATAAATCAGTTTATTTACTCATTGGCCTATTGTGATATTGTGATTTATAATAAGAAATATAATTAATTTGCTGTGCTCTGGTAAGGACTAAGATAGCTGAAATTTAGACTGGAGAGAAGAAATATTATTTAAATGTAAAAAGAGCAATTTAGTTTTCCTTGTGCCTTGTAGAATTATATACCACTCATTCAAATTTCCTTGTTTCAAAACCGTCTTAAGGTGAGGCAGAAACTGTCAATTGTCCCTGACATTCATTTTCCTCTTTTTTCTTTAATAATGGATCCCACATTTTTTACTGGGCTCATAGCCTCTTGGAATAAGGTTGTGTAGCTAGGTATGGTGAGGAGACTAACTTCTACTAAAGTAGAAGACAAATTTTCTCAGAAGTTTTCTTCAAGTGGGGAAGTGAACTCTTCTTTGTTCTCTTTTGCACTGGCTGGAATGCAGACACAGTGGCTGGAGCTTAAGTAACCATCTTAGGCCATGAGGCGATAGCACATGCTGAGGATGGCAGAGCAACAAAACAGAAGAATTCTGGTTCCCTAATACTGTAGAACAGGGGTCAACAAAATGTTTCTGTAAAGGGAAAGATGATAAATATCTCTAGCTTGGCAGACTATATGGTCTCTGTCCCAACTAGTCAACAATGTCATGTTAGAGGGGAAATAGCCACAGATAATATGCAATGAATGAGTTCCAATACGTTCCAATATGTATTCCAATAAACTTTTGTTTACGGACAGTGAAGTGGAATCTCTTATCATTTTCATATGTCATGAAATCTTATACTTCTTTTGATTTATTTTCAACCATTAAAAAACATAAAGCAATTCTTAGCTCACGGGCTTACAAAACGGGCAGCAGGTCAGTTTTCATGCAAAGCCTGGTTTGCCAGCCTCTGCTAGAGCACCTTGTGGTCTCAGACTGCTTATCTTGAGTCTTTGTTTACAGGAAAGAGGGATTTTTTTGTTTTTTAAGATTTAGTTGAGAGAGTGTGTGTGCCCTGGCGGGGAGGAGCAGAGGGAGAGGGAAGAGAGAGAATCTCAAGCAGACTCCCTGCTGAGCCTGGAGCCCAACATGAGGCTCGATCCACGACCCTGAGATCACGACCCTGAGGTCATGACCAGAGCCGAAATCAAGGGTCTGACGCTTAACCAACTGAGCCACCCAGGTGCCCCAGGAGAGAGACACTCTTGTTGTTTCTGGGAGATGGGGTTTGCTGTGATTCAGCAGAGCTAAATCCTGATAACAAGTAGATGCCACAGCCCCTGAGGTTCTCCCCCCCCACACGACCCATAGCAGTCCTGCACCTGTTCCCCTCAGGACTTCCACTGACTCACCTTTGCTTCCTGTCCCGTTTCCCCTACATTGCATGGACTCCCCACAGACACACTTCCTTTATAATCACTTGTACAGGGATCTGTGTTGGGCTCTGCTTTTGGCAATCCAGCCTTCGCGGTGGTAGCTATCATGGCTCAAGGAGTCCTTTCTTCAGGCTTTAATACAACAGCAGAAGCAGCAGGCTGCTCCTTTATAGAACCTAAACCCCGGTGTTCTAAGCAGGGCTCATTCCTAGTGCAGCGAAATGGCTGAGAGCTGGGGATCTGAAGTCGTCCTGCTTGCACGGAAATTCAAGTTAGCTTCTCTGAGCACCGACATTCCTTACCTGTAGAATGGAGCTAATATCACATCCCGCTTAGCACACAAGGAATACCCTATACAAGCTAGTTATTATTGTCAATATTAACACGTTGTCTGAGTGACACAACCCCTGCTACTTGTGAGTTTCAACACAGCGTCTTCTTTGCAAATGATAGAAGAGCAAGTGGGAAGTGGTCTGTGGGAAGCTGACGAACTACCAGATGAGGGTTCTTTGTAGGGCAAAGTTGAAGATCAGGACTTGTAAGTACAGTACAAATATAAAGTAAGGGACATAAAACTTCAGCGACAAGTAAGGCAAATGGCTGGGCTCTGAAACCAGGCCCCCCGGGGCCATAATCCCCAACTGGCCATTCACTGATTCACTCGGGTATTACGAATTTATGCAACAGGGCTGCCAATGCTTATATCCTAAGGTGATTGGTCCCGTTAAACAAAACCGTGCACATAAAGCCCCTAGCTACTCCCTATGCAGAACTTTCTATGTACCAGGCACTGTGCTGCTATTATCCACAACCTGACTTCACAGACGAGGAGCAGAGAGATGCCAAACTTTGCTCGGGCACCTTGGCCCTGATGACAGATGTGGCAGTGGGGCTGGTTCCCAGAAAATCTTTTAGGGGTAGTTACTGGTTCTTTCCTTGGCCATGGAATCCCACCTTCTTGGGTCAGTATGCTTGAAACCAGCACCCAACTCCACCCCAACCCAGCAACCACCACCGGGGAACACGAGGGAAATAAAAGGCCCCGTTGCTGTTGAGAGCAGGGGGAGCGCAGGTCCTCTGACACTCTTTGCTCTGCTTGATCCCAGCAAGTCTGCATGGCAACCAGCACCAGCCACGCAGCGGGTCGTAGGTGTCCCTGCACAGCGGCTTGGAAGCTGCCAGTGTTTGTGCTGGTGGAGACCGTGCTTGCCATAGCACAGAGCCCCTGTGCGGACAAGGCGGACCGCCAGAACACAAAGGGAACACAGAAGCCTTCTGTACGGCCATGAAACTCACCAAGGAGCCTTTCTGCTCTGCCTGGGGAGGGAGGAGAAAGAAAAAAGGAGAAACCACACGCTCCAAGGGATTCAATCAATATTTGCAGTCTGCCTGACTCACCAGCTTGGTCTGACCAAATAAGAACTACCCTTATTTAAGTATTTAATAAATGATCAATAGCAGGATTGTATTTCCACGAGCTAGAGGGTTCTAATTTAGTGGCACAGATTTTTTTTTTTTTAATTCAAACTTTTTTTTTTTTTTTTTGCCACATTCAGCAATTGCTATCAGATGCTGAATGTCTGTGGTCACACACTCCGCTTCCTGTTTATAAACGCGCTCTGTTTTCAGTGAGTCAGCAGTTTCTTGTTCTGCAGAGAGGTATAACTGGCCATGTCAGGCCAAGGAGGTGGAAAGAGCTTTGTGAAGGGTCCAGGCTGCATGGACCTCTGTGCATCAGGCCTCACGGTTTGTGTGTTTGTGGCCAAACACAGGTTAAAGTTATTCTGCCCAGTGAGTTTGGTAGCTTCTTATCTGGTTTCAAGCTGAACTGTTGTCAGAGATAAACAAAACCAGACACTAGTTAAAGTGATGAGGACAGATTTTAACGAGCACTCACTCCTGCAGGAGGGAAGAGAGTCTAGTGTGACCTCAGCTTGACTTGATGTATACAGAGGTGACTGGGCTTTTTAGGGAGAGAATGGGGGATAGGGAGGGGTGAGGCGGGCTGAAGGGAACTGAAAACTTACAAAGGGTTGGTCAGTGTAAATGGGATTAGGTCAGCTGGTCTGTTAGCTTGCAGTGATCAAAGTTAGGAGTCTGCCCTCCCACCGAGACTGGGAGGCAGAGGCCGTATCCATCCTGATGATCACACTTCAAGGAAAGCCTTTTAGGCCCTTGAGAAGATACTCCTAAGTTGTGTGAGATACATGTCTACCTCAAAGGGACAGTGGGAGGATTTACAAGGGCGAGCCCTTCTGAGGAAACGCTCCGAGACAGGGTGGTCAGGTTTCGGCTGGAACAAATGGTCAATGCTCCTGTCAGTCTTGAGTTTTCTCTTTGGCGAGCACTTGAAGGGGACTGAGGTCATCCCAGGGATGTGGACTTGAGCTGTTAGAAACTGAGTTAGTGTCTGTTCAAGTCTTTAGAGGCCAAGGCTGAGACCCACTTGAGAAGAGGGCTCATAGGAGCCTACCTAGAGTTTGGCCAAGGAGCGAATCTTTGTCACCGTGAAGCAGGTCAATGTCTGTCTTTAGACTCATTCACTTCCTCCGGTGCGGCAAATCCTCCGCCTAATAACCGGACCACCTGTCACCCTCAGTGCCTCCCAGCCACTAGCTGGGCCGGAATTGCAAATGCCTAATCTCCTTCTGGGGCATCTGAGCTCTGGACTGTTCGCTCCCCCTCCCCTCCAGCCGTAGCCCACGTTGCTCTGTCGGCCCGGGTGGGGCTCTTGTTACTTTCCCTTTACACAGCCCCGCTAGTAAGCCGACTGTGGCCGCTTCCTAAGTTCAGTTTATCGTCCTTGTCCCTGGAGAAGCCTTCCCTGATCACTGAGAGCCGGCTGGGGCACTCCCACGCTGTGTGCTCCCCTCCACAACATTTATCACCCTGGAGCGTGGCGCCTGCTTGAGGTCCTTTTCCCCAAACCCTAAGCCACAGGAGGGCAGGAACCATGCTCCATTTATCCTTGCTTTCCCGGCACTCAGCTACAGTAGGTGCTTAATGAGTGCTTGCTGAGCATGTGAATGGATGGTAGCTGTCCCTTGATGTGTCCTCGTAGCACCTTGTTCTCAATGAGGTTCGAAGCCCAGCTTCCCAGCTTCTGTGCTGTGGGAACTTGGGCGAGCTGCTAACCTCTCTGCACCCAAGTCTTCTGGTCTGTAAAAAGGATGCATGACAGCATCCGCCCCACAGGGCCGAGAACAGAGCCGGGCACATAGTGAGGCTCAGGAAGTACCACCACTACTTTTGTTTGTTCTAGGATGCACTTAGATACTCTCTGCCAGTGAGCTGTTGAATGAATGACAAAGAATCCAAAAATGTCCAGCATCTCAGCTGACCCCTAGTCCTTGCTTCCTCTGCCCTCTGGGCAACATTTCAACATTTTCCATTACTGCTTTTGTTTTCTAACTTAGCAGGACACAGCACCCACCCCCCCTTGGCCCTACTGACTCGTGTTCTAACTTGAAACAGATGCTGCGTGGTGATAGAAGGTGAAGGACACAGCTTGTATCTGGTCCGGACACTCTGCTTGGAGTCCCAGGAGCTCCTGTCCCTCTTCCCTATGTTCATGTCTCTGCTTCTTCCAAAATTGTCTAGACTCAGTTCGGCCTTTCCTCACCTACCACACATTCCTCCACCTGTTCCAGTCTGGAGTCACACACACACACACACACACACACTCCGACAAAGCAACAGTGGCCAAAACCACCAATGGCTCTGTGTCAGCCAGCCGACCTGGGATCTTTTTAGTCTACGGTAGACCATCAGAGGTGGTTGCCACACCTTGCCTCTCAGAATATTCTCCATCCTTGGCTTCTATGTCCCAAGTTTCTTCTGTTTCCCCCCTGCCTCTTCTGTCTTCTCTGCAGTTTTGGCCTTTCTTACCCACCCAGTAGGTTCTCTCCTAGGACATCCCGCTCATGCCCAAGGCTTCAAATACCACCCGTAGGCACATGAACCACAAGCACCCTCCTGCCTCTTTATGCCTTGAGCATATCTCACTTCTAAGTCTCTGTTCAAATGTCACCTTATCAGAGAGAACTCCCCTGGCCACTGGAACTAAAAGAGCTCCACACCCCTCCTCACCTTTTTACCCACTTACTCTGCTTTAATTTTCTTCTTAGCACATGGTACCACCCAGGAAATTCTATATTTGTTTGTTATCTATTCACCCTTACTAGTGAGAAGCTCTGCTGGACTTTGTGGCAGGTATTATTCTAGGCACTAGGACAGAGCATTGAATAAAACATACTAAGGTCTTAGTGAATATTTGATAAAAGGTGTGGGTGGAATTTAGGTTTCTAGCTACCATTCTCTTCTGAGCTCCAAAGTAATATAATCAGCTAGCTGCCTTGACAGCTCCTCTGGATGTCCCAAAAGCATCTCAAACTCAATCTCTCTGGACCAGTGGGGTCCACTAGAACTTTCTATGATGAAGGAACTATTCTATCTCTGCATGGTCCATTATGGTCGTCAATAGCCACACGTGACTATGGAACTCTTGAGATGTGGCACTTGCAATGGAGGAGCCGAAGTTCTAATTCTCTTTAAATTAAATTAAGTTTAATTTAAATAGCCACACGTGGCCTAGGAGCTACCTGTGGGGCAGTCTAGTTCTGGACTAAGCTGATGATCCTCCTCCCAAAACCTGGTCCAGAAGCCTCTATCTTATCAAATGGCACCACCGTCCACCCACATAAGAAAGCAGAAAGGCAAAAGTCATTCTTGACTAGCTCCCTTTCCTATACCAACCAGAGCTGATCCTTCACGAAGTCTTATTTATTTTATATTTATTTTTTATATATTTATATTTATTTATATATATTTATTTATTATTTGTATTTAAATTTTTATATCATTTTATTTTTTTATTTATATTTTTTGCTTCCCAGATTTATATTTTTTAATCTGTCCATTTTTTTTCCCATCACTACTGCCACCTGAGAGGAAAATACATAATCTCTTACTGTGACTATTTCATTTCTTATCTTGAGTAAAGGCTTTACCTGATTTGCCCATCCCACTTTCCCTTTCTCCAATCCATTCTCCATAGTCTACAAGAGTGACTCCAAATGCATACAGTGTACCCTGATCACATTACCACCACCTCTCTTCCCTCCCCTGCTGCTTTGGATGGCCTGCAAGTTCCTACAATGGTTTGAGTCTTGCCCATCTTCCCTGAAGAATGGGTTCTTTCTGGGCTCCAATTGTAATGGCCTTATTTCCATCCTGCATTTGGGCCATTTTCCTTCCCACCATAGTGTCAGTCTTCCCTAATCACTAGACAAGGTCAAACCCCTATAACATGCTCCCATAACACCACGTACCACTCCTCAGCCCTTTTATACTCATTTAGTCATTAATTTTGTCTATCTTTCCCACTGGAAAGTAAGTCTGCTAGAGCAGAGACCTCTTACGTTTTGTTGACCACTTAGTAATATCTGTCTAATAGTGGAAGCTCCATGAACGTTGACGTGTAAATATGTAGCCAGACATTCTTTTGAGATAATATAAGTTCTCTGTTAGTATATGTTTTCCTGATGTCCCATAGAGTCAATGGGAGTAAATGCAGAACAAAAGAATCAATTGGGTTTCTCAGTGAATGTTTTAAACTCATAGCAAACATGAGTGCTAAGGGTGCTTGAAAAGACAGACACTTTCTGAATCTGAATATTCAAAATTTTCCTTAAATACCAAGGCCCAACTATTGCTGAATAACAAAATATCCCAAATTTAATGGCATTAAATGATAATTATTTTATTATGTTCATTGGCTCTGTTATGGACTGAATTGTGTCCTCTTCAAAATTCATATGTTGAAGTTCTTATCCTCAGTATGTCGGAATACGACCATATTTAGAGATAGGGTCTTTACAGAGGTAATTAAGTTAAAATGAGATCACTAGGGTGAGCCCTAATCCAATAGGACTGGTATCCTTATAGGAAGAGGGAATTTTGAACACAGACATGTATGGAGTGAAGACTTAGGGAGAAGATAGACGTCTATAAGCCAAAGAGCAAGGCCTAGAATATATGCTTCCCTTGTGACCCTCAGAAGAAATCAACCCTGTTGACACCTTGATCTCAGACAAGATCTGGAGGTTTCTGGCCTCCAGAACTGTGAGAAAATACATTTCTTTTGCTCAAGGCACTCAATCTGTGGTACTTTGTCATGGCAGACCTAGCAAACATACAGTTAGGAAGACTTGAACACCAGAGCACCTACACTGAACTTTCCATGTGGCTTGGCTCCAGGAACTCGGGCTTCTAACAGGGCAGCTCAGGACCTCAAGTGCATGTGGGCTTCTGTGAACAAGTCAAAATTTGTATCACCATTTATGACTTAGCTTGAGAAATTATCCAAAGTCACTGTACTCTATTATAAAAACACATCCCTAACTCACCCAAATTCAAAGAGGGGAGAGTTAGACTCCACCTGTTGATGAAGGAGGAGGAAGATCACGTAGAAGACGAGCATGTGAAATGAAAGATACTGGTGCCACCATTTTGGAAAATTAACTCTGTCTGTCCAGAACCTGAGGGAAGAGCATGAGGCATAAAACAATAGATTGAAAGAGACTAGACAGAGAGCAAGATTTCTGTCTTTCTGAGGGAGAAGTTTTTCATGGAGGGGAGAAGAGGTATAGAGGGAGCTATGCATGTGACTCCCTGAGAAAGGTGGTGAGAATCCTCCTCTCTTCTGAGGTAAAGCTCAGGCAGTGAAGTGAGAGAAAGAGACCCAGGACAGGAGGATGCCAGGGCAGAGAGGACCTGGGCCTTGCTGCTGGTCCTATAGAGAAGCTCTGACCACCTGAGTGGTAGAACTAGAAAGGCAGAATGAGGCATCAGGAATGTGGGCCGAGGGCAGCCATAGGCAATCCTGCCCACCCCACTTATAGAGCACAGACAGTTCTCTCAGGAAGTGTCTCCTGGAGTCCGGGGTTGTGGCTCTCTCCCAGTAGAACCAAAAACCTTAGCAATGGAGGCCAGTTCCTTGATAATTCTGAGTTTTTAGTGCCTAACTGTGAGTTTTACAGAGACAACACTATTCAGAGGTTTGCTCTGTTATTTTTAAATTAACATCTGATTTATTAAGTTTACAAATTTAAAAACCTGGTTCTACCCATAGCTTTTAAGTATAGCTTGTAAATAAAGTTTGCTAGTCTTGCAAATATTATTTGGGCAATTGCTTTTGGGTCCCTGCCAAGATACCCTGATTGGACAATTGCTTTGCTTAATATTTGGTTTCATTTACAAATATTCAAAAAATTCAAATATCTCCAGTGACGTTTATATTTGAATATGTTTAGTTCCATTTTATTTCCACTTCAAGGTTTTTAACTTCCCAAGAGAAATTGATTTGATTTATATGAATTACTTAAACTTCCGTATGGTGAGTCAAAGTTGGGTCGTAACTGTTCTAGGAGTATATGGAACAGTAAGATTTTTACTTAAAAATAACAAGTTGAAATCAATACTTAATTATACATCCCAAATTGGAGTTATAAGGCTGACCTATTATTCTAATAGGGCTAGTTCCCTTAAACATGATAAGCACATGGAATAGAAAATATTTTCAATTACCTTAATGTAAAATATCAACATTATTGCTGAGAGTCCTTGAACAGTTTTATATGTAATTCCAAATCTTCTCAGTTCAACTGAGGAAACTGCTCTCTCACCCCCAACCCTATTTAGGGCTCACTTTCTCAGCTTGTGTGTGGTCGCCTCAAACCAAACCAGGGTCCAGATGACCTGGCCAGCGGCATGAGCTCCTGGTGGGATGTATTTAGCTCTATTTATAGTTGCTATGTAGTGAACATCATTACTTCAAGGAGATGACCTCTACCCTCTTAAGGTCAAGTTATAAATATCCTAATTCTTCTATCTGCCCAAAGAGATTGACATTCTTACTCAGGATTATCACTTGATTGAAGTCCCTTAAAAAAAGACATGGGTGTCTTAAGAAGCAATGAAATGCAAAATCCAAAGAGGAAATAACATTCTCTCATATCTAGAAATTCTCTAGCCCTAAGATTTAAAAATGCTCTCAAGTTGAGTTTTATACAAGCCTCACAGCTTCTCTGATTAGTCATCCGGTCCTTGCAAGGCTATTCAGCTGACACACAAGTGAGCTGTTCTGTGGAGCAAGCCCTGCCCCTGGACCTCTGCTAGGCTGTCTGTTCCGGAGCCTTTGTGTGAATTAGTAACACGTGTCCTTCTTTCACACTGAAGCTGCCCCACGAAGGGCTCTAATTTGGAGAGGTGAAGAACTTTTCCTCTGGATCCAGGCACCTTAGGAAGGGCAGATGGCACAACTGTCCATTGCAATCCTGCCTTGCCCCTCCGATTCCAGAACTGAAAATGAGACCCTGGGCACTGGGCCACCCCTGCGTAGAAGGACAGGGTAAAAGAGTGAGGGACCATCTTGCATTGACTGCTTACACAAATAAGACTGAGAAAATCCAGAACTGCCAAGTTACCCTGACCGGGCAAGAATACGATTTCTTCTATAGAGCAGAAGTTGGGACACAAAAGCCAGGTTGAATTACAGGGAAATAAAGCCCTTTTGGCACACTTACCTCTAAAAAGATCGCTAGGTCACACCCTTCCTGGGCCTCGCTTTCCACATCCGTGAAGTGGGATGTTCTCTAGACCAGAGCTTCTCCAATGTTGTGCTACTGTCACCTGGGAATCCTGTTGAAATGTAGATTCTTTTCAATGGGGATGAGTCAGAGTCTGAGATTCTGCATTTCTAACAAGCTTCCGGATGTTGCTAAGGCTGCTGGCCCTCTGACTACACTTTGAGTAGCAAAAGAATGGAGACAATTCTAAGGCTTGTTATTTTATGGTTACAAATTATCCAGGGAGAACAATCACCTAACTGTCTCCTGCTAGGGACCAGCCTTGCAAAACCAGAGATAGCTTTTAAGTTAAGCTTCACATCTCAGAATGGAAAAGGAGAAATGTTTTATTTTTGAAAAATAATCCACCTCTCCCTTCCTCCTTGGACTACCCCCCACCCCACCCCCACCCCCAATCCTGCCATTTTGGCTTTCTTATCAGTTGCATGAAATCTCTGGCAAAAAGAAAAAAAAAAAAAGGACAACGCTGCCAGAACCAAAGCGGGATGCATAAAAAGGCCTTAAGAAATATGTTTTGGGGAGGGCAAAAATATCTTTTTTGATAAACTTTAACTGAGTGATTATAGAGGATGGGTGTGGGGACTTTTGAGTATTTTAGGGAAAGCTGGGAAAATGATGAAATCTTAATGACACATGACATTAAACACTGAGACCACATATCCTGTTGACCAGTTCAGAAAATATGTTTTGACCCACAGTATTTAAAATACAGATCCTTTCAGAAAATCCGTGGCGAAAGGTCCCGGCAAAGTTAGTTTGATGGAAGTTGTCACTCGGCTTCCTCTGGGGTAGACCATATGCACTGTATACGTACACACGTACACATATATTCACGCACACACACACACACACACAGACACACACACTCATACTGTACGCCATACACACACATCTTTTTTAAACTGGCAAGGAACTAAAAAAAATAAATAAACAAACTAGCAAGGCACTAAACTAAACCAAAATTAAATAAATAAACTGGCAAGGAACTAAAAAGAATGACCAAGGAGTGTCCTTTAATAGAAGCTTCACTTCTTCACAAAATTACTGTCTCTTCAGTTCCCTTCCTTCTGCCCACCCCAAGTGAGCCTGTGTGCGGCGACGTGCCCCAGGCTCCCTTCATACACCTCCTTTGGTTGGTGTTCCCTGTCAGACTCAGAGGCCGAGCCCCAGGGCCGCCAGCAGACCTCTGGTCCCTCCGTGCCCCTCCACAGGGCAGACGCAGGAAAAAGCAGGCGGGGGGAGCTGCACCTCTCCCACAGAGCATTTTGTGGGCCGCTGAGCCGGGGCTTGGTGTTCGGGCTAGGGGTGCCCTGTGGAGACAAACCTGCTCTCAAGATCAGAGCCGGCTCTGGTCAATGCGAACATGGATCAGTGTTAAGTCATCTGCTCTTTGGATCTTGCATGAACCCTTGTGTGGGGATTACAAACACATCCACCTAGTTTAGTGACAGACCAGAGCACCCACACCAGGCCTTTCCATGTGGCTCGGCTCAGGCAGAATGCTCTAGTGGGTCCCAATAGCTCATATTCACTAAGGACGTACCAGGTCATACACTTGAATGAGCATGTCCATGGATTAACTTCTTGAATCTTCACAATGACTTTGTGAGGTAGGTAAAATTATTCATTTCCAGAGGTTTGTTCTCCATAAAGAATAAAGAAAGACTAAAAGGACAAAGGATAAATAATTTGCCCAAAGTTGCTTCTGACATAAATTAGAGTAAAATCTAACAAACCAACCACCCCAGGACTGTGCCTTAGCACTTAGTAGGGGTTAGGAAAATGTTAACTGTTATTATTAAATATTCATCTATACTGTCAATCAGCCGAGTAAGAATGATTCTGTGAGGGAAGTATCATCACTGTCTCTTCCATGTGAAGAAAACAAGGCTCTGAAAAGGCTTTTCACTTGCCCCATCATGTCCTCCCACAGTGGCCAGCTCTTCGAGCTACATCCCAGCGTTCATTCACGGTTCAGGCCGCCTGTCTGTGAGGTGAATCTCGTGGCCACTGTTGCAGGCTGGTGATCTTCCCGGTCAGATATGGACAGGCCAACATCCCAATTACATTCCAGTTATTCTCCCTGGTGCTATTCCCAAACCTCAGAAGATTTTTCAGAGAAGAGAAGACTTGGGTTTCTAGCCATAGAAAGCTGTAGATATTTCCTTAATTTTGATTTGAATAGGGACTTAAATCTGGAACACCTGCCAGATTTTTTTTAATATTGGTCTTAACTTTTACTCTTTATTTTCTTGGGATTGAGCAAATATGCCTACCAGCTCCTATCATAGCAGAGTTGAAATAACCTTCTGCCTTGAAGTATTTTAACCGTGGCCAACCCTCCACCACCTTGCCTTCACTCTCTACAGTGAAATAAGATAACTCAAAATGCTCACAGGGGCTTAGCCCTTCTGGCCATATGAACCTTTCTCATCTACTGGGATCCGGGATCTCTCGATATAAAATGTGTAGAATTCCTGTTTGCAGAGCAAGTGAAACGCCGCTGGCGTATTTTTTTTTTTAATTATGTTAATCACCATACATCATCGCTGGCGTATTTTAAGGTTCATCCTCAGCTAGCAGGGATAAAAATGTGTCCCCAGTCTGAATTCACACCAGGAACATTCTAAGGGTTCTGTATTGGTCCTGACAGCAAGCCTGCTGGACTGTACAGAAATGAGTGTTATCCTCTGACCTCTGTCGTCTTGGACAAGAGATTTACCTTCTCTGGGTATTGATTTCGTTCATGAAACCTACTCATAGGTGGTAATGGTACCAAGCAAGGCTAGACCCGAATGTTGGCCTTGAGCGTGACTGTAGAAGGATGTTGAAGTAGATGACGGCAGAGGTTGCTTTCAGATCTGTTGATAAGTGGAAGATTCTGTGAGTGGGATGGGTTGGTAGGGTTCTTTCTGTTATGTAGGTTCCGCTAGGACATGGTCTTGCTCTGTCATGGAACTGGGAGTCGCAGCAGGAAACAGTGATTAGTTTGGGGGTGTTCTCATCTACTCTCTTCTGGCCTCACCCCTACTCCCACCACCCTCTGTGCTCTCCTCGACTTGCTTGCTGAACATTTCCACTGCAAAAGCCCTCTCCCCTGCAAAGCAAAGGTCAAAACGCAGCTAACCCAAAGCAGTTTGAAGAAATAGGCAAGATCTCAGCTCCTTGTCCTTTGGCTAGTGCAGCCCCCTAAGTTGAGCTACTTCAGATCAGATCAGTTTTTATTAAAGTGTTAATGTATTTCTCAGGGGGTGCAGTGTGCTGGCAGAACATCTGAAACCGGGTGCAGAATGAGAGTGTTGCATGCAACCGCATCTGCTTCACATTATGCTCTGCAAAAGACAAAAATACAGCCCTAGGAGTCTAAAAATACTTCCTAGTTGTTAGCCAAAAATACATTTATTCTTGGATTCATAAAAATGCAGGCCATGTGAAATATGTGGGGGGCATGCACTCTCACAAAAAAAAAATTTTTTTTGACCAAAGAAAAAGAAGAAAAAGTTAAACTTGAAAATCCTTTATTGAAATTAAAAGGAGAAGGTGGAAATGATAAAGCTCGGGGTATGCCTGGGAAGCCAAACTGGGAAAGCTTTGCGCCCAGGGAAAAGACCATTTCTAATGACCAGGCTGCCTTCTGCTCACCAGACCCTGCCCAGGAAGGCCCTGAGCCCTGGGCCAGGCTCCACACTCTCATCACTTTGTGGGGACTAGGAAGGCTAGAGTCAAGGACCCATCCCAACCCCAAATCTCAACATTTTGGTCTGTGCATTGCTTCTCAAAGCTCCTGAGATTTGGAACCAGTTTTTTTTTTACCCCCCTCTAAGCCATGGGGAATTGATATTTTTACAAAAAACAGTAAGAATAAATTAATAAAAATAAAATTAAAAAGACATATAAAATGAGACCCCACTCCTTTATTACTATAGTCAACAGACATAAAATTACATTTCAAAATTACTTTTAAAAAGAAAAGAACTAAGGGCACCTGAGTGGCTCAGTCGGTTAAGTGTCTGACTCTTGATTTTGGCTCAGGTCATGATCTCAGGGTCATGAGATCGAGCCCCGTGTGGGGCTCCGTGCTCACTGGGGAGTCTGCTTGAGATTCTCTCCCTCTGCCCCTCCCCTGGCTCTTGCTCTCTCTCTCTCTTTCTCTAAAATAAATAAAATAAATCTTTTTTTTTTAATAAAAGAAAACTAGTATAAAAAGTTTCTGAACACACAGTCACAATATCTGTACTTATTTGACATGGATCAGTCAGAACTGGGTGCCACACTTTGAACAGTACTGGTAATCAAAGAGTGTAGATCTGAGAGGTCTGCAGCCCAGCCCAGCTGTCCCAGGTGCTAAAGGCATTAATAACCATTCTGAGCCTCTTGGTGCTACATCTGCAAAGTAGGATGATACCTTCTTATAAGGACAAGGAAGGATAGTGGTAAAGTGCCTGGAGGGGTGGTGTTTAATAAATGCTACCCGGGTGCCTGGGGGGCTCAGTCAGTTAAGTATCTGACTTGGTCTCAGCTCAGGTCTTGATCTCAGGGTCATGAGTTCAAGGCCCACATTGGGCTTCATGCTCAGCATGGAGTCTACTTAAGAAAAAAATCAAGGGGTCCTGGGTGGCTCAGTCAGCTGGTAAACAACTCTTGGTTTTGGCTCAGGTCATGATCTCATGGGTGGTGAGATCGAGCCCCACATGGGGTTCCACGATGAGTGGGCTTCTGCTTGAGATTGTCTCTCTCCCTCTTCCTCTGCTCACACTCTCTCTCTCTAAAATAAATAAATAAAATCTTTTTTGAAAAATCAAGACATTAAAAAATAAATAAAAATAAATAAATGCTACCAGGACCTAATATTTCCATTATCTTCTAGGTTAGTTTCCTATTGCTGCTGGTAATAAATCACCAAAAATTTAGTGGCTTCACACAGATATATTGTCTTACAGTTCGAGAGGTCAGAAGTCTGAAATGGGTTTCACTGAGCTAAACTCAAGGTGTCTGTAGGGCTCTGTTCATCCTGGAGGCTCTAAAGGAGAATCCACTTTTTGTCTTTCCTACCTTCTAGGGGCTGCCTTGGCTCACGGCCC